ATAGAGGGAGTGGTTGACTTGTTATTCCAAGGTGGGAGAAATAGGCTGGAGCCCTTAACAGATTTTAAATTTGATCTCAGAAATACAACTAAAGTAGCATTTTGGCCTGCATTTGTCAATACCACTTAAAGGCCTAACTATGTTGTAATGGACATCTTGGGTAGAATATTTAAGTTTATTTGAACAAGCACATGCTGTTAGGCATCCCACAATGTTCATGGTGTTAAAAGGACAGTGAATCTGTTATAAGCCAGGGTTAGTCCCCGTAAACAACCTCCACAGACTCTATGCTGTAGAGAGACAGTAATAAGGAAATATGTAAACAAATACCTGCTCACATACGAAGTAAATTAAAGACATATCTTTCAATGCTTTTATTTTCATAAAACCTTGACATTCACAATTATACCTTAGAGGTCAAATTTTTCAGGGGAATCTGAGAAAGTGATGTTGTAAAATCACACACACATGCACAGTGTGTGTCCCTATTTTCTGCTCCACTGTGATTCCTGAATCATTAATAAGGTGTCGTGGGAGGCTGGGCAGTTTACTGTGACCGCTGCTGTAATTACATATTTGACGTTGACAAATCTGAGTGTATTGTGTGCCACACAGAGGGGAAGGATGGGGTCGCACACTGTAGCATCAGTCCTGCTGAGGGTGTTGGGGTGTAAAAAGCAAGCTTGCAAGTGAACAGATTCAGACAAATCACATTATTTCTGCCTCTGCTGTCTCTCTTCACCTGCTTGGATACACATAATGTTGTAACAAACAAACAATTCGATGTCCAAGTGTGCATATACATACACAAGCACATCCATCTCCTAGTGAATACGTCTGAATGGATAGAGGAGCTCTCTCCATCTCTGTTTCTCTAGACATGCATACCACCAGTCCCCCCACCCTCACAAAATCATTAGTCATCCACTAGAGGAACCAGCCCCAAGGCATTTTCTCTCTCTCTCTCGCTCTCTCTCATGCACGCACACACACACACGCGCGCCTAAACACATGGACATTACTACAGCATTTCCTTCTGAATGATTCCCAGGGGCCCAGTATAATGTTTCTGACTCAGGTGGAGGCATACATTATAAATCTGGGTGGTCCCTTTATGGTTTACCGCTGATAGGTTTCCTGTAAATAACAGCCTGCGTTACTTGATTACTTGAAAAAAAGAGTATGACCACAGGACGTTGTGCAGCCACAGCAGCAGATTCTGTTTTACATGACACCTGATAAGCATCATGGGGAGGGGTGAATGAATATTGAAGAGTGTAAGTGGGCAACAAACTGGACTGTCCCCTTAAAAACAGGATCAGTCATTTTTGTACGTTCTAGAAATTGACGAGATTTTACTGTGTAACTAGCCTGTTGTTGCCAGACCCTCACACCTTAGTGATGGCATTAGTGCCTCTGGGAGCGGCTGAACTGACCTCCAACTAGGGCGGTCGAATTACACCAATAGGCTATTGATGGAAACCGTCTTTATTAACGTCTTAAATATCAATACCATGCTAAAAATAAGCAAACAGTAAAGCAGTGAGTATATACAGGATGGTTGCCACACGTCACAAATCAGCTGGCTTTAAGCAGCTTCCAAAGAGATGATTCAGCAATTTTAAAGGCATGGTTGACGAGCCGAGAAGCAGTTGAAAAAAAACTGAGCCGTTGAGGCAGATTTGAAAAAAGCGTCCCTACCCCCTACACACAAACCTCTCCCCTCCGAGAAGGGCCTGGAGAGTGGGCAGGGACAAGTCAGAAACACAGGAGAGGGGTGTGTCGAATACAGGGAGGTGATTGGATGGAGAGGCGGCGCAGGAGATTGACCATTAGGAGCTGTACGGGACGGATGGCTCCCATCGGTCAATGTTTTTGCAGCCTTGCACCTGCTAGGGTGAACAGATTTTTTCCATTCTTTTTTCTCTTTACTTTGTGGAGATCGCACCATCGGACCATGATCGCCATATAAACGAGGTTCATAATAATTACCAAACTCTCCAATTGTCAACCATGCCTTTAAATATTGGGATTTCCAAATTCAATGTTGGAGCTTGTGTCTCTTTAAGTTACTGACAATTTTCAGGAAGTAGCTTACATTTAAAAATTAATACGCAGTTTTTTTTTTTTTAATGCAAAAAATCATTTTGTGAGGCAATGTCTACTCTATTAAAGTTTTAGTTACACAGTGAGGGATGAGGACAACCATAATTAGAAATGGATGATGACATGTAAGTTATCTGTTTATTTGCAAATATTATGGTCTTTGAGATTTACGAACATATCAAGTTGCCCCTTTCTGTATTTGTATTTTCTCAGTTTCGCTTAAATCTCAAGTTTTCAGTAAATATTGCGATAATATTGTTATTGTGATACTTTGGGGTCTAGATAAACATGAGGTGAAAATCTGGTATTGTGACAGCCCTACCTTCGACCAATCAGAGGAACGTAGTGTTTTGATGTTATGTTGAGCAAAACATATCAAGCACAAATGCATTCCAGTGAAAGCAGTGTGATCCAATGATTATTTGCTGCAAACAATGTTGCAATGTCATTTTTAATGTCAACTGTTTAAAAACAGTAGATCACTGTTGACAAGTTCAAACCTGTATCCACTCATTTTTAACCTGGTAATGATAATGTAAACAAAAAAAAAAAAAAAAGATTTTACCATTATCTCACAAAGCTGTTAGGGTGAAAGACAGACATGCAGTAACATTTAAATCTACTGTATTGGAGGTTAATAAAGATACCACCACTAAAACGGTTGAGCACCTGCTGTAAAACCAACAAACCAGGCTTAAATCTAGTGCCGACCTGCTCCTCTGTTCTGCAGTCAGCTTGAAAAGAAACTGCAGCCAGTAATAAATTCAACAGGAGGGAAAGAGAAGACTGGTCTTGTTAACACAGGGGGTTGTCAGAAAGCCGCTCGGGGGCAAGTCTGCTTTGTAACAGAATGTGATTAACTGGCTTAAATCAAGGTGAAGGGGGACTAGATTAAAAATTCTGATGAGCGGCCCTGAGCGTAACACCTCGAGATATTTTTAGACAAAGACACAAAACTGTTGATTTCCCCTGGAATGATTTAATGGCTGGTCATATTACCATTTAACAGCACTTTGGCTCTTTCTGGTGTGTTGCCAGCTGCTGTGCTGCAATGTGAACCTGTGGTTATTTTTTTTAAACTGACAGCAAGGCAGCTCCTTGGCATGTGTGCAGTATAGCCAGTGACAAAGACAAATTGATAGATACATAATACAAGAGTTGAATGATCTTCGCCTGGGGCATGTTGAAGTGTAATGCAATATGTGGTTATTGATTTTGGCCTCTACCACCACTGCAGCCTCAGTTCTGTCTATGACCTCTCTTGCAGATCAAACTGAGGTCAGTTTGAGGTTTTTTAGTTGTAAAAAAAACAGCTTTTCATAGATACCTGTGCAACATCTCGGAGTAAAATGAAGTAGGTAGCTTGGGAGGATTTGGGGAATATATGAGGAGGAACATTCACCTCCTTCCTCTATCTACAAAGATTAGCAGTTAGAGCTGAGGATCCCTTGAGGAGAAAAAAGAAAGATGCCCTAATAATCAGGTCATAGAGATGAAACAAGAAAACCAAATCATAATTTTGGATATACCATCGTAATGTTACCAGTCTACAGTCTACCAACTTATATCTAATAGTATCATGTCTATATTTATTTATAATTTTCAAAAGATTTCATTCAGCCTAATTCTTGCATTTAATTAGAGTAAAACAGCCTTGATCATTAGAGATCAGCTTGTTATTTTTGTCATGCGACAAGTTTCTACGGCTTAGCAATCTGCTTTTTCTCTTATAATTATTTTTTTCTATTGGCTTCATTCAATGTTATGTATTATGTAAAAATAATAACTTTATTTTTATAGCACTTTTAAAAACAGAAGTTTACAAAGTGCTTTGACAAACAGTTGCAAAGCACCAGCAAAAGGGGGAAAAAAAACAAATAAAAAACAAAAGCTCAGTTAAAAACAAAGCCTCCGAATTAAAGGCCAATTTCATTTGTCATAAGAAACCCAGACAATACGAGAACCCTACAACGTAAAATGAGACCATGAGGACCAAAATAAAAACATAAAATAGGTAAGAAAAAAAAAAAGTTATTAAAAAAGGGAGGTAGAAAGCAGGAAACAGGATAGTTAATATAAAAAGACGATATTAATAATGATAATAAAATAATAATGATGGTAATATTAATGATAAAATGGAATAACAAAAATGAGCAGGAAAAACAATAAAATCAATAAAAGGCCTAAAAGGTAAAATAAGAAAAGATAATAAGTAAAACAAAGGCTAAAAGGACAGTAAGTTAAAATAAAATAGAGGTAAAAGAGATAAAAGAGAAAAGATAAAAGATGGTGATTGGTATGGTGATTTACACTAAAACTTCTGCAATTTTACTTCAATAAAAAAGGACTGTGCTTTCCACCACTGCAATAAGTTTTCTAGAGCTGCAGCTATCGAATATTTTAGTAATCGAGTATTCTATCTAATATTCTATCGATTATTCGAGTAATTGGACCCAAACGGCAGACTCACATAAAGTTAGATTTCCTATTGTCACGGTTCAGGCACCGAGGCTCAAATGCGGACAAAGAGACTCAAGTCAGAGCAGTTCAGTTAAACAGATATTTATTTGGTCCAAAAATGCAAACAGAAATAGGAAAACGGAACTAAGGTGGGCAGTAACAATTAACAAAAAGCGCTGTCTGAAAAACGCGAGACAGGATCAGTAATAACTAACAAAAACGCTGTCTGTATAAACGCAAGACTGGAACAGTAATAATTAACCAAAAAGCGCTGTCTGCAAAACGCGAGACTGGAACAGTAATAATTAACAAAAGCGCTGTCTGCAAAAACGCGAGACAGGATCAGAACAATTAACAAAAAACGCTGTCTGCAAAACGCGAGACAGGGTCAGAACAAATAACAAAAAACGCTGTCTGCAAAACGCGAGACAGGGTCAGAACAAATAACAAAAAGCGCTGTCTGCAAAACGCGAGACAGGGTCGGGTACTACCAGAGCTAGCGAGAGAGTGAGTGAGCAGGCAGTCCGTGAACTCCGACTGGAGGGAGAGAGGCAGGTGGTGATGGCGTGAGGCGGCGTCCTGGACGGAGCTGGGATGAAGAGCAGGAGAGCTGGGTACGCAGACGGGAAGAGCAGGCGGAGTGGGCAAGGGATTTTCAGGTTACGGTCCAGCGTCGGGTTGTGGGAAGCGTCTGGTTTTTATGGCAGCGGGTGAATGAATGAGAGCGCTCCTCTCCCCGCCACACGGATCGATCCGCTGATTAGTAAGTGGCTGCACCTGTCCGCCCTGAAGCTGCATCACACCAACACCTGCTTAGAGAGAGGGAGAAAGAGAAGAGGGAGGGGGGAGAAGAGAAAAGAGAGGCTGCCCCTATCTGGCCCTAGAAGTAGAGGGCGTGACAGTACCCCCCTACGTGCACCTCCAGGTGCACGAAGGCGCTTCTCTGGGTGGCGGCGGTAGAGGTCGCTGACCAACGTGTGGTCCAGGATCTGGCGACGGGGAACCCAGCTGCGCTCCTCTGGCCCATATCCCTCCCAGTCGACCAAGAACTGGACCCCTCTACCCCGCCGACGGACATCCAGCAAGCGACTGACAGTGTAGACTGGCCCATCGTCCACTATCCTGGGCGGAGGAGGGGGATGGACGGGTGGGGCCAAAGGACTCTCCCGTACCGGCTTCAGCTGCGAAACATGGAACGTGGGATGAATCTTCATGGACCGGGGCAGCTTAAGCCGGACGGCAGCGGGGTTAATGACCCTCTCCACCTCGAACGGACCGACAAAGCGTGGGGCCAACTTCTTTGACTCCACCCGGAGTGGGAGATCCTTGGCCCTGAGCCAAACCTTCTGGCCCGGGGCGTAGGCAGGAGCAGGGGAACGGCGACGGTTGGCCTGTTGCTCCATTCTCAAGGAGGCCCGGCGGAGGGCGACCCGAACCTTCCTCCAAGTTCGTTTGCACCTCCTGACGAAGCTTTGCACCGAGGGTATGACAATCTCCTCTTCAGAAGCTGGAAACAGGGGGGCTGGTATCCCAGGACGCACTGGAAGGGGGACAGTCCAGAGGAAGAGTTAGACAGGGAGTTGTAAGCGTACTCCACCCAGGGGAGTTGATTGCTCCAGGTCGTAGGGTGTTCTGAGGCCACACAGCGTAGGAAAGTCTCTAGAGACTGATTGGCCCGTTCCGTCTGGCCGTTTGATTGTGGGTGGAAACCAGAAGAGAGACTGACCGTGGCCCCCAGAGCCTTACAAAACGCCCTCCACACCTCTGACGTGAACTGGGGACCACGGTCGGAGACTATGTCGGAAGGGATGCCGTGAATCCTGAAAACCTGAGAGACCAGAAGATCTGCAGTCTTAATGGCTGTGGGTAACTTGGGCAGGGGAAGGAAATGGGCAGATTTGGAGAACCGGTCGACAATGGTTAATATGGCGGTGTTGCCCTGGGAAGGAGGGAGGCCTGTGACAAAATCCACTGCAATGTGGGACCAGGGTCTCCTGGGAATGGGAAGCGGCCGCAGGAATCCGGAGCTGGGTTGATTGGACGTTTTGTTGCGGGCACAGACGGAGCAGGCCAGGGTGAACTCACGGGTGTCTGCCTCCATGGTGGGCCACCAGAACCGTTGCCGGAGGACCTCTAAGGTGCGGGCAGATCCGGGATGACAGGCGAACTTAGAGGTATGCCCCCACATGAGGACCTGCGGGCGGACGGCTTCTGGGACAAACAGGCGGTTTGGGGGACCGCCTCCGGGGTCAGGTTGCTGTTCTAGGGCCCGGAGTACTTGGGCCTCAACCTCCCAAGTGAGGGAGGCGACAATGCGAGTCTGGGGCAAGATGGGTTCTGGGTCTGGCAGGGCGTTCTCTCCGGAGAACTGACGGGACAGGGCATCAGGCTTGGTGTTCCTGGACCCGGGGCGATAAGTGATGGAGAAGTTGAAGCGGCTGAAGAAGAGGGACCAGCGGGCCTGGCGGGAATTCATCCTCCTGGCCGACCTGATGTATTCCAGGTTCTTGTGGTCTGTCCACACGATGAAAGGCTGCAGGGCACCCTCCAACAGATGCCGCCATTCCTCCAGAGCGAGCTTGACGGCCAACAGCTCGCGATCTCCGACATCATAGTTCCTCTCTGCGGGGGTAAGACGCCGTGAGAAGAAGGCACAGGGGTGTAGTTTTTGGTCTGTTGCAGCCCGCTGGGACAGGACTGCCCCTACCCCGGTGTCCGAGGCATCCACCTCCAGGATGAACTGTCTCTCGGGATCTGGCTGGATCAGGATAGGCGCCGAAACAAAGCGTTGCTTCAGCTCAGAGAAGGCCTTGTTTGCTTCAGGGGTCCAACAAAAGATCTTGGTGGTGGAAGTGAGGGTGGTCAGGGGGGCTGCAACAGAGCTGTAATTTCGGATGAAACGGCGGTAGAAGTTTGCAAAACCAAGGAAGCGCTGAAGCTGTCTCCGGTCTTCGGGACGGGGCCACTCAGTCACTGCCTCCACCTTTAATGGGTCCATCTTGACCTCCCCGGAGGAGATGATGAATCCCAGGAAAGCCACAGTGGATGCGTGGAACTCGCATTTCTCTGCCTTGACGAAGAGGCGGTTCTGGAGGAGACGTTCGAGGACCTGGCGGACATGGCAGACGTGTTCTTCAAGGTTTCGGGAGTATATTAAGATGTCATCCAGGTAGACGAAGACGAACCGATTGAGCATGTCCCTCAAGACGTCGTTGATGAGGTTCTGGAAAACTGCGGGGGCGTTAGTGAGGCCGAAGGGCATGACCAGGTATTCAAAGTGTCCCAGGGGAGTATTGAAGGCGGTCTTCCACTCGTCGCCCTCCCGGATTCGGATGAGGTGGTAGGCATTTCTAAGATCCAGTTTGGTGAAGACAGAGGCTCCATGCAGCGGGGTGAAGGCAGAATTGATTAGGGGAAGGGGGTAAGTATTCTTAACAGTAATGTCATTGAGGCCCCGGAAGTCTATGCAGGGACGGAGGGATTTGTCCTTCTTGGAGACAAAAAAGAATCCAGCGCCGACAGGGGATGAAGAGGGGCGGATGATGCCAGCCGCCAGAGAATCGCGGATGTAGGACTCCATGGTGGCCTGTTCAGGTCTAGACAGGTTGTACAGTCTGCAACGGGGTAGTGTAGCTCCGGGAAGTAAGTCTATAGCACAGTCGTAGGGTCTGTGTGGGGGCAGAGACAGGGCTTGATCCTTGCTAAAAACCATGGCCAGATCGTGGTACACAGAAGGTACAAGGTCCAGGTTGAGGGGTTCGGAAGGTAGGGCCCGGGGGCTGGCTCGAGTTTCAGGAGTCAGGGCAGATGTCAGGCAACGTTGGTAGCACTCCCGGCTCCAAGAACGGATCTCCCCCTGCTGCCAGTCAATGTGGGGATTATGGACCTGGAGCCAAGGGAACCCAAGAACCAAGGGTGGACTAGACTGGTCGATGAGGTGGAAGGAAATTGTCTCATGGTGGTTGCCCCCCACCACCAGGGAGACCGGAACAGTCTTATGGCGGACTTGGGCCAGGTGGAGTCCGTTCAGAGCACGAGCCTCCAGGGGCGCGTCAAGAGTTTCTGTGGGAATGCCGAGCTGGGACGCCAGGCGAGAGTCCAGGAAATTCTCTTCAGCCCCAGAATCCACCAGGGCTAGAAGAGGGATAGGCTGACGCTGCCAACACAGGGTTATGGCCACTTGGAGACGTTGTGGGGGCGAAGTAGTAGTACGGCTCACCAGCAGATCCCCCGTCACTGGCGAGCCGGACCTTTTGGCGGACGGGCGGGGCAGGAGGCAATGTAGTGACCCGGACGCCCACAATACAGGCACAGGTTTGCTGACCGACGTTGTAACTCTCCGACTCAGTGAGGTGGGCCCGGCCGATCTGCATTGGCTCTGGGAGAGACTCCGGCGGGGGGTCCGGCTGAGTTCTGGGGCCTGGGGCACTTGGGGTTCTGGTGGGTCCTAGTACAGAGCGGGCGCTGCGTTCTCGCCTCCTTTCCCGGAGCCGGTTGTCAATCTTAATCGCTAATGCGATGAGGTGGTCTAGGTCTGGAGAGTCGTCACGAGTTGCCAGCTCGTCCTTTAGGGCCTCACCTAGCCCTTTGTAAAAGGCTCCCTGGAGCGCGCGGTCGTTCCAGGAGCTCTCTGCAGCCAGCGTCCGGAACTCCACCGCAAACTCTGCGACACTCCTTGTCCCTTGGGAGATGGCCATGAGGCGGTGGCTGGCGTTGTTACCGCTTACTGGGTGGTCAAAGACCTTCCTCATCTCTGCCACGAACGCCGCGTAGGACTCACAGGCACTGTCCTGGCGTCCCCAAACAGCCGTGCCCCACTCTCTCGCCTGTCCTGACAATAACCCGATGGTGTAAGCTATTTTTGAACGATCGGAGGCATAGGAGAGAGGCTGCATCTCAAAAACTAGTGAAACCTGAGTTAAAAAGGCCTGGCAGGATCCTAACTCCCCCCTGTAACGTTCAGGTACAGGCACTACAGGTTCACGAGAGGGAGGTGGAACACTAACGCTAGCCAAGACAGGATTAGCGGCTAACGCTGAGCCTGGGGGAGCAGTCTTAGCAATTTGACCAGCCAACCCTCTTAACTGGGTGGTTAGTTCAGAGATCTGATTAAGCATAACATGATTACTACTGACCAGGGAACGCAACAATTCATCATGTTGAGCTAACACGCATTCCTGATTAGCAATAGCTTGTTGAAACGTGGTAGCGGGGGAGACTGCCTCCGCGCCAGTCTCTTTGTCTGCTGAGCTCATCTTGGCTGGACCGTACTGTCACGGTTCAGGCACCGAGGCTCAAATGCGGACAAAGAGACTCAAGTCAGAGCAGTTCAGTTAAACAGATATTTATTTGGTCCAAAAATGCAAACAGAAATAGGAAAACGGAACTAAGGTGGGCAGTAACAATTAACAAAAAGCGCTGTCTGAAAAACGCGAGACAGGATCAGTAATAACTAACAAAAACGCTGTCTGTATAAACGCAAGACTGGAACAGTAATAATTAACCAAAAAGCGCTGTCTGCAAAACGCGAGACTGGAACAGTAATAATTAACAAAAGCGCTGTCTGCAAAAACGCGAGACAGGATCAGAACAATTAACAAAAAACGCTGTCTGCAAAACGCGAGACAGGGTCAGAACAAATAACAAAAAAAACGCTGTCTGCAAAACGCGAGACAGGGTCAGAACAAATAACAAAAAGCGCTGTCTGCAAAACGCGAGACAGGGTCGGGTACTACCAGAGCTAGCGAGAGAGTGAGTGAGCAGGCAGTCCGTGAACTCCGACTGGAGGGAGAGAGGCAGGTGGTGATGGCGTGAGGCGGCGTCCTGGACGGAGCTGGGATGAAGAGCAGGAGAGCTGGGTACGCAGACGGGAAGAGCAGGCGGAGTGGGCAAGGGATTTTCAGGTTACGGTCCAGCGTCGGGTTGTGGGAAGCGTCTGGTTTTTATGGCAGCGGGTGAATGAATGAGAGCGCTCCTCTCCCCGCCACACGGATCGATCCGCTGATTAGTAAGTGGCTGCACCTGTCCGCCCTGAAGCTGCATCACACCAACACCTGCTTAGAGAGAGGGAGAAAGAGAAGAGGGAGGGGGGAGAAGAGAAAAGAGAGGCTGCCCCTATCTGGCCCTAGAAGTAGAGGGCGTGACACCTATAGCCCCGCAATGAAGGCCAGACTCTGAGAAATAGAGGACAATCGCGGGACAAGCATGTGTGTTAGCGGATTGCAATGCTCGTAAGAAAGCTAATTATGATTTTAACTTTTATCATGCCCCTGAAGACATTAGTGTCCGAGAGCTGAATAGCTCCGATGTGACCACACCAGCAATGTTAGGCTACAAGCTAGCGTGAAAAGAAGTGTGCAGAGCAGCGCTGTCTCCACCCACGACTCAGAGGCGAAGTGCTAATGAGCTACTGGAGCTCTGCACAAGAAAACAGTGTTTCCAACTCCTCAGTAAGGAAAGTTGCTAGGTTGGCAACACTGCAAGAAAAGCCGCTCTCATCATTTATTTTTTCCGCTCCGCAAAACCTAAACAGTCCTCCTTCTTCTACCGTGGTGACGTAAGCGCGAAACAGTAACAATTTGAGCTGATAAACAAGTACTCCAGGCAGAGTACATTATTTGTAATCGAGGTACTCGAGGTATTCGAAAGTTATCTGATAATTGTGTTAAAGCTACTGTAGTAAGCAGAATGCACCAACTACTATTAAGCTTATTAAATTATACAAGAAGTCACTGAGGAATAGAGTCGACACACTTCATTCGACATTTGTTACACAAAGACATAAAATAACCTTTGACATATATTGCAATTTTCTTTCCTTAAAATCGTGGTATGAGAGGAGAACTGAAGCAGTTACAAAGTATAACAAATGAGTTATCTGAAATTCTTGGAAAGTTTTTAAAGTTTATTTTTTAATGTGGGGAAATTTCTAATCATACTTTAATAGCAGCCATTCCAAGGCCCTTACCCTCACAACTTTATTTAGTTGTTGCAAACCAAACTTATCTTTCTTTTTTATTTTTGGTCATGGCTTGTGAACTTCAACGGTAACACTTCACTAGAATATCATTTTACCACTATAATCTCATCATCTACCATGTTATGACTTTATTAGTGTCCAACAGATAATTTTATGGGTTGTTCTCTAAAATCCCTGGTTGGAAACCCATAACGGCTGCTATTACTCTGACAGCCATTAAAAGCTTGAGAGCTATAACAATTCAAGCCAACAGGTTAATACTAGTTTTAAAGAAACAGCAGGTTCAGGAAAGGATTGTGTGATAGTACACATTAACATTTAGCAAATAGAGCTATCATTATCACAGCTGTTCCATGTTTTAACAGCTTTATTAAACTCTGTCTGATAGCAATGTGAAGCAAAAAGATGATAACATTACACGCAGGGGCCATTACCACACCTCAGCTGTTATAGAGGGTTCAGTGGTGCATCTTTATATGTCACGCAACACAGATGCAGAGGTAGCCCCATGGCACCTGATGTCACACAACCTGTGTTCAGCCTGTTGAAAAAATCTGCTGCACTCTATATGGACTCTTTACCTGTATAACATGTAATATGCCTATTTTTCAACTAACAACGCCAATCTGTGATAATATGCGATGGTATATCATTGCCATAATGCCATTCATTGGGAACGAAAGGTGTAAATTCCTTGTTCATTCCTGTGATAGCTAGTCTTTCTCTTTTATAAACGCGCTGTCACTACCTGATAATGATCACAGTTGAAAACTACATCCTTATGTTGAAAATGAAATTGATGAAGTCTTTTATTATAGTCCATAAAATATTAAATAATTGGTGAAAGAGAAACGAAGGATAGTGGCTGCAGCTTTAAAAATAACTAATTTATTCCCTCTGTGGTTAAAATTCACCCACTCTGTTGGTGTCCATAGGCCATATTCTCAGCTGTACCAATTATTGCATTTTTCTGTTTTGTTGCTGTCTTATATCCTCGAGCAATTATCTGTTACCCAGTGAAAAAAAAAAAAAAAACATTCCTTTGGATGAACACAGGTTCATGCATTAAAGTCATATCTTTTTCTTCCTTTTAATTTTGCTTGAGGCAATTTTCCCTTTGGACCAGAATACGTTATAATGAGGTCAAACACATGAAAAGGAAGAGAATGGAGGATTGGTTAACAAAACTTAACAACACACCATCACAGGGAGGAGGTGGTTTGTAACTCACCAAGGATTTCATTTTAAAAAATCAGGATAAAATACAAAAAAATAGTTTGAAACTGAATCATTTAATGGAATTTGAAGTTTACTCTCTTGCTTATAATACATCAGTATATTTACAAATGGTAAATAACATTAATAGTAATAGTATTACTACGACTGCTACTACTACTAATAATAAATTTACCTAGATTATTCTTCTTATGACTTTGTGTGTTTTCTGACTTGTCTTGTTGCTCCAAAAGTGATCATTTAATGTTACATTTGTTACTAACTTAAATATCCATTGATCCACTCATCCATCCACTCATCCATCCATAGAGGATGGATGGTGAAAGGCAGTGTACACCATTCCATCAAAGAGTATCTATACCAAAAGAAATAATTGTCTTTTAAGATAACAATATTTTAGATCTTTGGGTTCTTATTTGCTGTGATTGATGTAAGAACATTTACAAATGTATATGCAGCTGGTAAAGCTAATTTCAGCTTTTTTACTAACCACTGGTATAGTAGACATAATATTATAGTGTAGCTACAATGTCTCAAAATGTGTCTTACAGAGCACCACTTCAGCATCAGTCTGGTACATGCAGGTTCCTATGGGAGAGTATGTTATGTCTGGTTAGACTTCGAAATAGATCAGTCAGAGTCACTCGTAAAGATGATACATAATACAAGCTTTGTTTTAATATGTGACCAGATGCTGTCAAAGGTTGATAGGCTGCATACAAGCTAAGACTACTGTCTTTAAAATGAGCTATTTTAGGAAGTCAACATGTATATATATTTTTTTGAAATTTTTATTTAAGCATTTCATTAATTTTGCACCACAACTCACATTTACACACCCACACAAATGTCGCAAAAACAGAAGAACAAAACAAACATACAACAAACCTACATCAAAACTAAATAATTACAGACGTTAAACCAGCAAAAACTGAAACAAACAAACGCCGCCATCCCAAAAATAAATAAATTAAATTAAATTAAATTAAAAATTAAAAATTAAAAATAAGAGTAAATAAAATAAAATGGGGGGGGGGGGGGGGTAATCAGGTACAGGCATAGAAGCGATAAATTCATCATGCTAAAAAAGGGAAAAGGAAAAATAAAATAAAATGAAGGAAGTCAACATTTATTTAGTTTCTCTTTACTTACCTTGAT